TGATGTTATTATCTTTATAGGTTGTTTTCACAGATTCTCCAATGGTAAGTAAAAAAGTAAATAACTTTACTTTTAATGAATGTATTGGTTTAAATTTAGTGCTCAATTGGTTGTTTTTGGTTTTCTACCAATCTTTACTTCTGTGTCGGCGATATAGTGTGATGTCCTTACTGGACTAGTGTAGCTCACTCCTTATTTAACCATTTCAAATAAGGAGGACCTGGTTCCCGAGCTTGATCCGCAAGAAGGCTGCGAGTAGATGCTAGATACTTTATAGTTTTTTTTTTTTTCCATTTATTGTATTTCTTTTAGAGAATTTATTTTGTGATGTTTGTTTAGTACTTTTAAGTTATCGTGTAAGAGATGTTAATCTTAACATTTTATTTCGTTTCCGCACTCAAATTATTATATGAATTTTCTTTTAAATTTTCGGGCCGTTACACTTAGGGCCCTCGGTTGACAGAAAAAACATAGAAAACCAAAACTCATCGGTAGCAGCTTCGGCTCATGTTGCGGTTGGGTGTTTTGCTCCGGTTAACTGTAGAGAAGGAAATGGTGATCACAACGGTGAAAAAATTATGCGAAACGGGAATCGGGAAGGACCTCATCAGAGGCGATTTGTAAAATTTTCTGTGGCGGTATTTTTTGGCTAATTGGCTAGTTCTTTCACTCCGATTTGACCATGGGTGGGTTTAAAATTGAATTTCGTGCAAGAGGGGAAATTTTTTACCTTTTTTGGTGGTCGGAAAAGGTTCCGGTGCGGCGGTGGGTGGCGACGGTCGGCTCCCCGGCGGCTGGGTTGTCTTCTCCGGCGAAGAACTCTAGCGGCTAGGGTTAGGGTTTGGATGTAGATGAGGTTATTTATATCCATCCACTTTTGATATGGGCCATCCATCGCTTTTGATCTGAACCGTCCGATCGCGATTAAATAGGGAGTGAATCTAGACCGTCCGTGCGTGATTCAATATGGGCCGTCCGTGCGCGATTTCAATATGGGCCGTCCGTGCGCGTGGGAATGGAAGTCAGCTGTTCGATCGAGCGCACGCGGATCGCCCATGTGACTCCCCCCCACGTGACCTCCCACGTCAGCGCCTCTGCCACCTGGTGCGTCCTGGTTGGTCGGGGTTGTTTACCGGGCGTCTGACGTTGCGTAATTTTTTTAAATTGCGTTTTGACTCTCGACTTTCAATTTTTCTTTTAAAAATATCTACAGAATCTAAAATTTCATCAATTTTTCTCAAAATTGTTTTCAATTAAATCCTTAACTAATTTTTTCACCATTATTATTATTATTTCATTAAATTAAATTAAAATAAAATAAACCGAATTAAATTTAATTAATAAATAATTACATATATATAAAAATCAAAAAATTAAATGTTGGGTGTTACATATTACGTTATTATTAATATATTATAATTTTGATATTTCATCAGTCATGTATTTAACTGATTTTTAAATTATTATTATATTAATAACTTGTAAATTATTATTTTGGACAATAATCTATTATTCATTCTCAAATATATATATATATATATAAAGTGGGAACTATGTGAGTCAATAGAAGTTGGGATTGTGAATAGATACATATATATATATATATATATATGTATGTATGTATATAAGGGAAAACACAAGAGACCTAGAACTTGGGAAATTGAACAGAGGAGCCACATCTATGTCTTGGTAGCAATGGGCATTGTATGAACTGGGAGCCAGAGGTGTCAACGCACATGTAAATCTGGTACAGTTGACTGTTCCCATATGAATCCACATTGCATTCTATTCCAACACTAACTCCACTTTCCTCTTCTATTGCTTTCCTAATTTCATCCAATTCGTAGAACCCATCATCTGCTTTAATTCCTGTAACAATTTAAACTATAAATATATATATAGACATATAAAAGAAATATTATATTACATAAATAAAATTAATTAGTATTACCTGCAATATTAAGAATTTTGAGGAGATTAATTTTGTCTTTCAATTTGAGAGCTGCCTCAAAGTATTCACGTTGGTCAAGTTCGGACTCGGAGCAGGTGCCATGTTTGACCCATTCATGTGTCCAGAACTTTGTACCGTCGTTGCTGGGACACGACAGTGTTGGCCAATTCTTTTCCAAACTGCTTTTCAGGTCTGAGATCTACCAATATATACCACAATATATATACATACATACATACATACATACATACCCACGTATTATTAAACTCATATATTTATACGCATATAAAAATCAGCTATGTTAGAGTAAACCCAGATGAGCAATTAGTATTTACTGCAATATTCAAGGCTCAAATAGGCATTTATATATACAAGTAGTTGAGATGAAATTTGGAAATGAAATATTATTCTTAACATAGTTACAATACTACGATTAAGGGCACGTTCAAATAAACATTTAGATTGTATACCACATATATGCATATACATATATATACATATATATATATACACAGATAGAGATTCAAAGGTTAGGCACCCCATAAAGGCTATAATAAATATATGCATATATATATATATATATATGTACAGATAGATAGAATATTGGTATGTAGATATAATACCTGAGATTTGTCAAAGACGCTATCAGGATTACAGTTTGATGGGTAGGAGCCGTCGTTGTAGTTAGGCCAAAGTCCGTGAATCCCAAAATCAGCAGCTGGCTTTCCAGATTTCGGATAGCAACAGCTATGCTTTGTGTCACAATATGATCCCGGCCACTGTATGCACATATACATACATCATATCATATCATATCATATCATATACATACACAATTAACTAGACACACACACACACACACACATATATATATAGGTGTACCTGTTGAACAAAGTAGAAGAAATCAAAGTCCTGACTGAGAGAGAAACAATCTAGTGATAGAAATTGTAATATGATGAGAAGGTTGACAATGGCGGAATAGTTGAGCTTCATATCTTTTTTCTTTACAGAATCTTGCTCGTTGAGTTTTGAAGATGAGACAGGATGCTACACACACACACACACACACACATATATACGCTAGCAGAGGATTTATGGGAAAAAAAATGCTGAAGGATCTGTCATAGGAATATGCGAGAAGCAGAAGCTACGCGGTCGCCAAGCTTGCAAGTTACTATTTTATTGTCATTACGTACATGCATCTCCAAAACCCTGGTTCACACGTTCTTCCTCGTTCTTATTTCATTATTATTATTATTATTATTTTATAAAAGAAACAGATATAAAATATATTATTCCATCATTATTTAATCATAATACATATATATTTTAAAGCATAATTAAATAAATTATACTTACATTTTCGATTCCGCAACTATAAATTTTTATTTTTACGTGTATGGGAAGCTTCAAGTTCTTATCTTATTTGGTTTATTAAATGTCTTTTGAAGTTGCTTGTGGGTATTATTATAAGCTCTGATAGCTTTAAATGTAATGTTTAATAAATTATGGTTGTTATGTGTAGGTTTTTATCATTTCAATCATATTTGTTTGTATTCAATTTACAAAAAATATTTATGCCGTATAAATTTTTACATTCGTTATTTATTAACGTGATTGTATGTGTTGTTATATATATATTAATATTTAAAAATTAACTAATTAATATTTATATATGAATTATATATTAATATATGAATTTCTAATAATTTGTGTAAAAAAAGACATTGAGATGAACAATGAACAGAAAAAAAAACAAGTATTCATCTTTAATTATAAATTTACTTAATTGAAATAATCATAACGTATTTAAAATTTAATTTAATATTAAAAAATAACTAATTTTATTTTACGATATATAATTATATGAATTTAAACTTAGTGATTTACTAATTTTATTTTATAAATATATAGATTAAAAAAATTTGTTCCTAAAGTATCAAGTATTAATCTATGCATTTTGTTTATAAACTCGTAATATTTATTTATTAATAGCAAACCATGCTTACTTAATTCTATAAATTGTTTATGTTTTGGAATAAATTAATAAATAAAGTGAAACTTATTTTTAAATTCTTACTCAAATGTAATTGTAAGATTGCCAAAAAAAAAAAAATGTTTTCAAAATTATAAAAATTCATTAGGTTGATTGTGATTTTATTTAAACTTTCCACTCTCCAACAATCCTTTGATATATTTTTAATTATCAACTTTATATATACGAACAATATAGTTAAATATATATAATAAAAGTGTTTTAACTTAAAAAAGTAGATCATATTCTTAATATATCGTGCTTACCATCGAATATTATTTTCATCTAAAAATATAATAAATGCAAGAAGACTTAACTCAACTTAGTTATAATAGTTTTACATAATTTTTTTTTGTCAAAAAATGTAATAAAAATTCATTAGGTTGATTGTGATTTTATTTAAACTTTCCACTCTCCAACAATCCTTTGATATATTTTTAATTATCAACTTTATATATACGAACAATATAGTTAAATATATATAATAAAAGTGTTTTAACTTAAAAAAGTAGATCATATTCTTAATATATCGTGCTTACCATCGAATATTATTTTCATCTAAAAATATAATAAATGCAAGAAGACTTAACTCAACTTAGTTATAATAGTTTTACATAATTTTTTTTTGTCAAAAAATGTAATAAAATCACTTATATTTAACTCAATTTGGTTACTGTAATATAACAAAATATTACTTTTGTCCAGAGATGTAATAAAACTCGATGAGACTTAACTTAATTTAGCAACTGCAATTTTACTAATATACTAGTTCTTAATTATCGTGACTTATTAATATATTAATAAGTTAAGTTTTCAATTCAAATGAATCAAACATTATATATTGGTCATTGTGACTTTATAAAATACTACTTTCATAAAAAAATATAATACACTCGTTGAGATTTAATTTAACTTAGTCATCACAACTCTACCAATATACTAATATTTAGTCATTACAGTTCCATTAATACATTCATGATGCACCTACAAAATTGAGTTTTATGTTTTTAGTGAGTTTTAAACTCTTAACTTTTAAATAAAATAAAAAATTTTTAACCATCATATCTAAATTCAATACGTAAATCATATAAAAAAAACGGTAAAAACATGTATTTAATTTTAATACATAAATCAGTTAAAAAAACTTAAAAGAAATAGATTAACTTATTAGTAAGACAATGAGTTCCATTAATTTTCAAATTATTATTTTCAACAATAATCTATTATTCATCCTCAAACATATATATATATATATATATATATATATATAAAGTAGGAATTATGTGAGTCAATAGAAGTTGGGATTGTGAATAGATACATATATATATATATATGTATGTATGTATATAAGGGAAAACACAAGAGACCTAAAACTTGGGAAATTGGATAGAGGAGCCACATCTATGTCTTGGTAGCAATGGGCATTGTATGAACTGAGAGCCAGAGGTGTCAACGCACATGTAAATCTGGTACAGTTGACTATTCCCATATGAATCCACATTGCATTCTATTCCAACACTAACTCCACTTTCCTCTTCTATTGCTTTCCTAATTTCATCCAATTCGTAGAACCCATCATCTGCTTCAATTCCTGTAACAATTTTAAAAGAATTATATAACAAATATATATATCATTTTACATAGAAAAATTTTTGGAATGAAATTAATTAGTATTACCTGCATTATTAAGAATTTTGAGGAGATTAATTTTGTCTTTCAATTTGAGAGCTGCCTCAAAGTATTCATGCTGGTCAAGTTCGGACTCGGAGCAGGTGCCATGTTTGATCCATTCATGTGTCCAGAACTTTGTCCCGTCGTTGCTGGGGCACGACAGTGTTGGCCAGTTCTTTTCCATACTGCTTATCAAGTCTGAAATCTACCAAATACGTACCACAATATACATATATATATATATATATATATATATATGTATATACCCACATATTGTTAAAGCCATAATCATCATATATATATGTGTACACATAAAAATCAGTTATATTAGAGTAAACCCAGATGAGCAATTGGCTTATACTGGAATATTTAAGGGTCAAATAGGCATTTGCATTGTATAATGTATTAGAGATAAGTGTAATTAGAGATAGCTAGCTTGGTTGTGTCTCTCTCCCTCCTGAGAAGAGGTAGAGATTCAAAGGTTAGGCATCCTAGAGAGGTTATAAAATATATATATATATATATATAGATATATAGATATAGTACCTGAGATTTATCAAAGGCGCTATCAGGATCACAGTTTGATGGGTAAGAGCCATCGTTGTAGTTAGGCCAAAGTCCATGAATCCCAAAATCAGAAGCTGGCTTTCCAGACGTGGGATAGCAACAGCTATTCTTTGTGTCACAATATGATCCCGGCCACTACATGCACATGTACATTTATCATATCATATCAACTCACAACACACACACGCGCACACACACACAATTAATTAGACATATATGTATATAGATAGATAGACAGACGTACCTGTTGAACAAAGTAGAAGAAATCAAAGTCCTGGCCGAGAGAGAAACAATGGAGTGATAGAAACAGTGATATGAAGAGAAGGTTGACAATGGCGGAACGGTTGAGCTTCATATCTTTTTTCTCTACAGAATTGGACTTGTTGAGTTTCGAAGATGACAAAGGATGCTATATATATATATATATAGATATATATATATATTCTAGTCAAGGATTTATAGGAAAAAGAAAAAGGGGAGAGGCAGAAGCTTCATGGTTGCCAAGCTTGCAAGTTCTTATTCTATTGTCATTACGTATGTACGTATCCAAAACCCAGATCTACACGTTCTTTCTCATTCTTATTTTATTATTGTTATTATTATTTTTTAATAAAAGAGACAGATACAAAATATATTATTTTATAATTATTTGATCATAATTTATATATTTTAATGCATAATTAAATAAATTATAACTTACATTTTCGGCTTCATAATCATAAATTTTTATTTCTACGTGTACGAGGAGCTTCAATTTCTTATCTTATTTCGTTTATTTAATGTCTTTGGAGGTTGCTTGTGGTTCACATGGTTTATGTGTTTACATTACATCTATATATATGTATATACCTTTGTACACATGGTTTAATAGATTATAGGTGTGATGTCTAGTTTTTCATTCAAAAGTTTTAATCGGACAAATCAATCATATTTATTCTAAATAAAAAAAAATAAAAACTCTAAAAACGGAGACGAAAACTAAAAAGAGCATAAGAAGATAAAAGCAAGTGAAGTGGAAAACAACATGTCGCGGGGAATAAAGCATAATGGAATCAAAACACAACATGACTGATTACGTGAGCCGAGAACACAAAAATATAGTACTTTTCAACGTGATTGGGGTAAAATAAAGTAGAGAATAAAAAAATAAGACTTCTGGTGTAATAAGACAAGTACGACTAAGTATTTTTTCATTATAAAGACCGATTGATGATGATAAAAGTTAAATATGATGATCCGATATAAGTTTAAGATTTATAAAAAAAGTTACGATATTTTTTTTATAATTCTAACATCATGTGTTATAATAAAATATTTTATTTATTATTGAATAACATATCCATATATATATACAAGTTTAGAAAAAAAAAAATTCAATCATATCCAAACACTTCATCACTTAGCCATATTTACTAAAATATATTTTTTACAAAATAATTAGACAAACAAAAGTTACTTTGGGATCATAAGAACATTTTAACTTATCTACTAAATAATTACACTATATATCATATAATTTTTAACTATATATATATATATAAACATACTAACAACGGATCAAAGATTCAATATAATTTTTTTTTAAAAAAAAGATAGTTCATGGTATACAATTATGTGAACTTAAACTTAGTGATCTACTAATTTTATTTTGTAAGTATATACATTAAAAAAATTATTCTTATAGTATAAAGTATCACCTATTAATCTCTATCTCTTGCTTACATACTCATAATATTTATTTATTAATAGCAAACTATGATTACTTAATTATATT